CAGTGGCTTTAAAGAAAACAAAACACCTTGTGGAGGTTGGATTTGGAAATCAGTCTAGGAGGGCTTGGATCTGAGTACTGAGGTATGCATGTGAGGAGAATTTCAGGGAAATTCAACCTTCAGGGAATTTCAAAGAAAGAGCTATAGTTTTGGTCTGATCTGCACATAATTGACAATTTCTCTGAGCAGGTCAGATTTAAAAAGCACCTAAATACTCTTTTCAAATTGACACAGGTGCTGTGGATGCTAATAGCAAGTCATTTAAAGCTGTAAAATCAAACATCTAAAAAGGTAGATGCTTCTTGGGACAGATTAGGTGCCTGACCTCCAGTTCACTTGCAAGCCTGCACACCCTACGTAGTGTTTTGCAAACTTGGGCTATTGTTCCACACTCTGACCTCATTGCTTGAGGTCAGTCATACCTCTGAGACTTCTGTCCTGTGCTGTCTTGCTTGATGCAGACATGTCTTCATGTGCTATGGGTTGTCATTCTGCTGTGACTGGTAATGGTACTTTCCTTGGTGAGCAGGCTGAAGGATATGGTCATAGAGAGCAAAGAGGGGCAAGTCTGGTTTTTTTGGGCTCAGCCTAGAATGCAGAACAGCCATAGCTCAGGCAATGCTGTGAACGTTTCATGGCCTTTCTCAGCTTGGCTGTGGCTGCTAACAAGTGCAGCAGCAGCACAGAACTGGTGCCTGACTTCCCACCAATGGGATGGAGCGTGACCTTTGCATCTGTCCTGCCTGAATTTGTGATGGCTTGTGAATCCCAACCCATTTTTTACTTGAGATCTCTTTCTCTTTGACCAACATTAGATTCACTGTCAGAATTTCTTGACAGTGTTCATGATAATTAAATAGTTCCTGGACTGTTTAATAATGAAGAATTTGGACCTGAACCTATTTCTCAAGCAAATCTAGACACAGTCACGAAAATCAGATTTGAGTTCTGTGGGAATTTCTAATAACAAAAGAAATAAGAGAGGGATTCAGGATTGACCCTGAAGAAAATAATTGGGATATAAATTATTGTCACCACATCACAACTTTCATATCTTGATGTTTGATGCAATTGCCTTTATCTTCCTTCCTTAATATTTTGCATCCAACTATGCCATCTCATTGGTGATGGCTGAAATAACAATTTCAATTCAAAAGTTCTTTTCCAAAGCAAGTCACAGTTAAGTAATGTTGCTTACTTAGTTCAGTTAAATGTCATTGAACTTCACTAGATGGACACTGCTTTCCTTTCATTAGTTCTTGTTCATTACATGACCCAGCAAAATATGGATACTTAATTTGCACAAGCTCCTTGGGAGTCTTGACATTTCCCTTCTTTCTTACCTCTGAAGATGCTTTTTACTTCAGTAAAAGCAACATCTTCTCCCTTTTCAGTCTATCATTTCCCACAGCAAGTGGAATTTCTTTTTTGATTGAAGTTTCATCAGTCTTTGCCAGCACACTAGGATATTTGTTCATGATCTTCGTCATAGCTTAGGACTGGAAAACCAAGGCTGGATCATTTACTCATGCAAGTTTTATCTCCGAAGACAACAGGTTGATATACCAGTTCTGCATTTGAGCATCAGGACTGCGCTTCAAAAATTTCCGTAAACTTTCCACATTC